TATTCCATTAAAGCCTTTGAGCAGAAAAGTCAACCAACTCTATTTCAATGGGATTTCCATGCTGAAATCTCTTTGCTTGCCTTAGGGGATGATGGAACATGTGCCTGGTTTCAGAACATCCACAGCTGAAATTGCCTAATGTCTTTATTTCCATAATTACTAAGTGGAAACCTTTTCTTGATTTAGCATCTGATATGGGAGTCCCTTTGGACTGAGGAGAGAGCTGAAGGCATGGCTATTGGAGGCACTACTGAAAAGAGTGTCTGCTTGTGGGCTGCCGGCTACTGTATTGCAAGAGGTTTAGGTTTGTAAGTTGATCTTCGCGCTTTGAGAACCCGCTTGGAAATGTGTGGTTGCTTTGGAAGTGGCTCTGTTGTGGAGCATGTGGATTCATGCTCTCACGAGGAAATCGGGCTGCATTTCAGGAGCCAGGAGAAGAGGAAGAAGCTACACAATCTGTTTCAACAGGGCTACAGATCCTATCACCTAACATGAGTGCTGTGCATCATCAAACACTTTTTCAGGCTGTGCTAAGAACGGAGGTTATTCTGTTAGACTTCAAGCTTATGCAATGTCATTAAAGTCCCTTTAGTTACCAGTGATATCAACCCTCGTGCTTCAGGGCATAAGCTGATTGCCTTCAGGGGTCAGAAAGGAATGTTTCCTTCTACGATAAAGCATTGCACAATTAGCTAGGGGCACTATGAAGGCTTTTTTTGCTTTTCTGTAGCATCAGTTAAGCTTAGGCCAGTGCCGTAGAGAAAAGATGTTGTGTTTGATTGACCATGATCGATGCTGGTTTGACAATTCACATTCCTCTATACTGCGATTTGTTTTAGGACACAATAGAGCACACCCCAGTATGCGAATGACACCGTGCCTTGCACAGACCAGGAGCACAAATTCACTTCATCAGTGTGCTCTACTGACAAGGGCAACAGCCATCGGGATGAGTTGTCACATGAGACTGACCTTGGGGACTTCATGGGTAGTTACAGTAAATGCGTGTCCCCTATGGTTCAGCCATTAGAGAGATCCCTGATACACACCAAAGAGTGGGGTTTTTAGTCTTAATTCTATATTTTAATTCACAGTTCGCTATCAAATATACAGGAGATGAATAAAGTGGGCATATTTGTGGTCTTATTTTTGTCGAGTTTAGATATTAAGGATGGAATTCTTTTCCCCGAGTGCCTTTTGGTGGGATTTTTGTGTTTACACAGGTGTAACCGATTTCTGTTCAGGTAAAATTGAACTGAACTCACAGGAGAATTTTGGCCTACACACATTGGGAATTGTGTTAGTTTCTGACTGATGCGGTGAGATCTAATGTCTAAAATATTTTTTGGTTATTGTTAAAATATAGCAGAAGCCATTTCATAATTGGGTAAAGTAAATGGATAAAAGCTCCTCAAACCAGAAACTATTAAAATTAAAAAATGAAGAGGTAGGGAAAGGGAAGAAGGGAGAGAGAAAACTTGAATTTAATTTTTTCTCTGAGATCAGCAGGAGTGTCAAGTCCATTATTTTTTGACTCCACTTATTTTCAGAGCAACCTCTTATTTTTTTATTTTTTTTTGGAACAAATCATTAAGGCAAAAATGTCCTCTCGTAACATGTTTGTCATGTAATGGTCACGTCACAGCAATCCATCCCTTTTTTTCTCTGGGATTCATGCCAAGTGCTAAGCCAGAAAACCTTGTTATATTAATTATGAAGAAAAAACATGTTTTATTAAAAACTAGCCTGCTGAATATTCTGTCGTGCTGCTTTTCAGTGACAGCAGAATTGCGTTTGCATTTTAGAAACGTTAATGACTTTTCTGGGTGGAGATACATAGTCTATTTTCCTTAGCGATGTTTACAGGGAAGCGGGATTAAAACTGTCAAAGCTAATTAACGAATCTACTATTTAAGAGTAGTTAGGAAAATTTGTAAGAGATTTGAAGTTGGGCTAGGCTTGCCACGCTGGAATTGCTGGAATTAAGGCAGCCTCTTAGTTGTGAGCTAGCTCAGATCGGATGGTGTTGTCACATCTACAAAACTGACATAGATGTACCGTAGTATTGATCCCCGTAGCACGTTGTCAAATGCATGTGTGGATCAAGCGTGCTGTATCCATTGCGGTTGGTGGACGGATAGTCCTAATGATACATCAATTAATAAAAACCCTATTGTGTTGTGCCAAATCACTGATCATAAATTCACCAGTCGGGTCAAAAACGCTTCCTTGACTCCATTCAAAAAAAAAAATGATCACGCTCTCCACAGGTATCTTTATATAGTTCTCCCAGAGGACTCAATTTAAAGGTGTCAACATCTAGAATTTCGGAATGAATTGCAACAAACATGAAATTGTGCAAATTATTAAAAGCAGAAGGAAAAATCGAAAACCTTTCATAAGAAAATCTACACGATCAAAGTGCTTGGAGGAACAGAAGTGCTTTTTAACAGTTACTTTTAACTACTCTTTGGGCATGTCTACACATTGCCCTATGGTGACATTGTTATTGTGCCGTGCTTTAGTACTTCCTTTTGGAAGTACTGTACTAAAGCACGGCTCAGTAACCACCCATACTGTGCCATATGCCCGGTGCATGGTTAACTGCCCATACTGCACTGAATGCACAGTTATTTTTAGCAGCTACTTCAGCATAGCGGCATGCTATATTGGGGGAGCGTGCTGCTACGGCACAGTAGCTGCTGGACATGAGTAGACACCCATGTATGCTATGTATGATGATGTAGCGTCATGTGTCGATGTGCCCTTTGCTTCCAAGTCATTATTTCATTTTCTCTAAGGACAGAGTGAATAGATCTGAAAGAGTTTTGATACACCAGGGATTTGGTGCTCCCTAGCCATGTTGAATATATTGTTATTAATCTTTTCCTCCTGATGTTGGAGATGTAAAATTTTGGGGTTTGTTAACAGAGAGGAACTTTGTCTTAGTAACTCTGGAGCTCTCTGGCGGGTGGTTCACTCTTGGTACCAAAGCTGAATACCTTATTTATGAGAAATAAACAGACCTTTTGCCCACAATTATCCCCATTGAAATCAATGCAATCATTTGCCTGGTAAAATGCTCCTACATCTCAAGATATCAGCATCTAATCCTAATGTACCACATTTATCTATGATGCTTTCTGGTTGATATTCACTCCTTTGCTGAAGACCCTCACAAGCCTGATACCTCACTTAAAAACCGAGTCCCTTTTTGGATGCCACTTCATTGCACAAACTATCTGACCAGGGGTGGATTTGGCTGTTTTTGTGTAAGCCTGCAGAACAGCCAAGTTCAGACATCCCACTGGCCCATAATTGAGTACTTAAGTTCTTTCCATAACAGCAGTCCCTGAGAAACCACCTCATCCTTCCTAAGGCACCCAGCAACACTCCTGGACTGCAGAAGGAGGACTTCTTTTTGAACCCCAGCCGATGATCGGCTTACTCTGTGAAGCATCCAGATTGAGAGCCCTGCCTTCTCATTGTCACCAGTTTAGTGCTGGTTGCTATTTTGACTTCTTATGGTTTGACCAAGAATGAAGTCAACAAAGTCAAAAAGAACAGACCCTAATACCTTATATATGGAAAACAAAACAACACTAAAAAAAACAACCCTTGCTAAACTCTTTGCCTTACTAAATCACATGGGAGGTGGTTTCATAAGATTATGCAAAGTCAATAAGGTTTTGCCTTTTTTTGTTGCAAACATCCACTCTTTCATTTCCCGTGGCCTTAGATGGCATTGCGGGACTCTTTTTTACAAAAGCACTGAACTGGCTGCCTTTGTATTTATCTCCTTAAATAAAATGACTAAACAGGACTTTTTAATTTATCCTTTTATGGAAACTGTCTCTTCCCCATAAAGTCTGAGATGTATCACTAGTCATATGGGATGTTTAGCTAAGTCATGAACATGTGTGTATCCCATGACACTGTACTAACACCGCAATTTCAAAACCCACTAATCTTCACCAGAATTAGCTTAAACAAAGTCCAACGTTTTGTTTAACAATACACAGACACCACCAAACACCCATGCAACCCTGCATGTTTCATGACCCTTTCCCCAAAAACCCTCTGAAATGATGAAGGTTTCCAGCTACAAGGACCACATATCATGATTTGTATGGTTTTTGTATTATTGGGACCTGAGACTTGCAGGTTTCTGAGCAACATCTGATTAAATACATGGCACAGAACCCCTATTGTATGGATTATTATTATATGAATAATAATAATAATAAAGGAGGAGTCAATACTAGATCAATTGGATCTAGTTGTTCTGGATTGTCGGGTATGAGGGCAAACTAAAGCTGATTTTGAACATGTCTTTATTGAGCAGAATACGCAGTAATATATACATGCTTTCCTAGTGAAAACCATGGTATGGATGATGCACAGAAGAACATGGACCACAAAGTTGACAGCCTGAAGAGGGTAGTATCCTTATTTATTAATTATGCAGCATGCGGGCCTGTGGGAACCTCAGGTGCTGTGCAAACACAGAATAAAGTTGGTATCTGCCTTCTAAGACCTACAGTCTAAGATAACAGGTAGATACAGACAGGCTGGGGGACAAGGGACTACAAGGAAACAAGGCAAAACTGTTTAACCATTGTCAAATATTTACTGCATTTTGTAACAGATTTTCACCAGTGGGAGATCTGACCCACAGTGTTTGTTAGACATGATGACACCCACCTGCTTCTTTACTGTCTCTCCAGACATAGTCTGACACTGCTCCATCTTTCAACTTACATTCTTATTACATTTTTCTTCTCTGTCCTCTTGTCCCGGGAGACTCGCCTACATGAGATGCCATCTCAGTAATGCTTGAGGGTTTCACATTTTTAGATCCACAGTATTCCAGTGGATTTGTATTTAGACTAACCAGTACTTTTAGTCCCTGACACACAGCTAATCTTTGTAAGCAATAGGTAACAGTTCTGCAAATAACTGAACGTGGCTATAGAGGCAAAGAGCTGAAGTATACTTACACAGAAAGGTGCATTCCCCAGCAAAATGATCACAGGAAAAAACAGAAAGGACACAACACCGTTAACCATCCTTACACTCCCAATGTTTTCCTCAAATGAGTTTTCACTTGTTGTCTATGTCCCCACCTCCCCCCAGTCAATCTATAATGGTTAAAAAGTGAGTTATCCAATGCAAATAATTAACTATGCCTCCAATATTGCTTAATAGTTAATGCTTGGTCAACAGACTATCTTGTTTGAAAAATTGCTACCTCTGAATCCTGACCAGCTGATCCTGACTGGACAACTGGCAAACATGTCAAAACAGTGACTCACAGGCTGCATCGACACATGTGCTTTACTGTGTAGTGGACTGTAAAGCATCACCATCTACACATGCATTGATATTAAGATGCAGTAAACTAAGTAACTCCACCATAAGATAGTCGGGGACAGTACTATCTTACAGGGCGTGTCTACACATGCCAATTTAAGGTGCATTAGCTATTTTTAAGGCACATTAAGGGCACAGGTCCACACATAGGTAATGCGCCTTAAAAATGCGATTTTAGGCTATTCGTGTCTAAATTCGTGCCTAAATTTAGGTGTGAATAGCTAAAGCGCCTTAACACGTGTGTAGATGTGCTAAGGCTCATTAAAGCTGTGTATGTTGACTGATTTGGGACTAACAAAAGCTGGAATTATGATGTTATGGTCATGGCTAGAAGTCCCTTCTGAGATTATGGCTCCCATTAAGCTGTGAATTGTAAAGACATATAAGAAGATAGTCCCTACCACAAAGAGCTTATGGCAGTGATTCTCAACCAGGGTGCCTTGAGATACTTTCAAGGGTGCCGCTACAATGTTAGTAGGTAGGTGTGCAACCAGGACTCACAAGATAGGAACCTGTACTGTTAAAACACTCTGATCTGTCGCTTTTCTCAGGCTTTTGCAACAGAATTATTGCTCAATACAGGGAAAAAAGAAAATATTGAATAGACGCTCATTAGGTCAGCATCCGTCCTCTGGTCACTTATTAAAGGCTATCATAATGTATATGCACAGAAGGCTGAATTAAAGCTTTGCAAGCAACCTTAATTCTGGCATTGCTTAACATACAAGCATTTGACTGTGCAACCCAAATATATAAACATCGTTTGTTTGTGTGTACAAATGCTTACACATGCATACAGAATTTAGAAATAATATACATACTGAATTATTATATATAATAATAACATAAAATTCAATATGTCTATTTATACAACGTATAAAATGCAATATACGTCGAAATATTATACAACCAATATATATATAATACTTAGACACAAACAGGAATATGCAGGTGTGTTTGCATGTTGGTGGCCACATACAGAAGTTGAAGAGAATTCAAGATTCTTTAACTAGTTAGAAAGACAGCAAGATAAAAGGAACTGGATAATGGATGGCTTTATGTAACGTGTCCTTGAGTAAGCTGATTTGCACTGAATTTTAATAGGGACCTGATTCATCAAATCTCAAACAGAATTAACGTATGGACTGGATCCTAATAACATCATGCTTTATATCCATGAAAGATAAATTAAAGGATAGAAAACTGCTATTGACAAACATTGATTATATGTTCTTTGATGGACTTTGAAGTTGTGCCAGATGCATCCTGTCAGCCTCCAAAGTTTTCTTTTAAATCTCATTGCATAAGGCTTTTACTTTTTAATTATTTTTTCCCGCAGCCTCTTTGATCAGCAAAAATGTAGATCATATTTGGGTGATGCTATTTCCTATGCATTTTATTTAGATGTGTTCTTGTGCATAGCTTGGGTTGCATAAAAAGGGTTGGATGGTACATAGCAATTTAAGACCCTTCGAAAGAATTTGAGAGCTATATCAGAATAGGAGTCAGTGGTATAAATCTGTTGCAAATAAGGCAGATCTCATTAGGAAGAGTATCATACATAAAATAGAGAAAGTAATAATTCCACTTAGCTCTAGGAGGACTTCAACTGGAGTACTTTCAGCTGTAGGCACCACACTTCATGAATGATGTAGACAGATTAGAGAGAGTTTGGAGGAGAACAACAAACATGGTAAGAGGTTTAGCAAACTTGGCCTACAAGGAAGGGATAAAAGAACTGCGAATATTTAGGTTCAAAACCCACCCCGCCCAGAAAGGGAGACGTGATAAAGCCTTTGACTATGTAAAAAGGTCTTGTAAAAAGGATGATTAATTGTTCTCTCACCCCTGAAGGTAAGATAAAACAAAGTTGTCTTAATTTGCAAGGAAGAGAGGTGAGATGTTAGGGGGAAAATTTTGACGATAAGGATCATTCAGCACAGGGACAGGGTACCTAGGGAGGCTGCAAAATTCCTGCCATGGGAAGTTTTTAAGAACAGATTCAACAAATAACAGTCAGAGGCTGGCCCTTTTAGTGGTCCCTACCAGCCCACATGCCTGCTAGTACACTTGTTATTTGGAACCAGCTATGGTTTCATGTCCCTGCCATCAGCCTGGTCACATGCTTGTGTGAGTGCTCCAGGGGTGGGCAAAATACAGCCCACGGGCTGGGTCCCATCCACCAACTGATTGGATTTGGCTCGTGGGAGGGTGCCTGCCAAGTGAATGGATTCAGCCTGCAGGCAGGAGTTGGCTCCAGCTGCCGGGTGGTGTCAGGCAGCAGGAGCTGCTTTCAGCAGGCTGGGTGCTCTTTTTCTCTGGGCCAGGGCTGCCACTAGCACAGAAATAGAAGCGTGAACCTGCCCACAGCTGTAGCATGCCTCCCTACCCCTCGAGTCCGGACCTGGTAGCTGTTAGCCACGTGCACAGCTGCCCAAATGCAGCCGGCAGCTTCTCGATCTGTGATCTGGGCACCTGGGGTTGGGGGGTGGCAGGATGTGCTACAGCTGCAGGCAGCTTCAGGCATCTGCACTGGTCATGGCCCACAGCTGTAGTGTGCCCTCTGCCTCCCTCCTCCCCGCTTGCCTGAAGCCCTGACCAAGAAGCTAACAGCCACGTTTGGGCGCCTGTGGACATGGCTGTTAGCTGCCGGGTCCAGCCTTGGGTGTGCTAAAGCCGTGGGTGGGTTCAGGCATCCACACTGGTCACACTCCCAGAAGAGAGGGATGGAGGCGGAAGTGGGGAGAGAGAGGGAGAGGGACAGGTGTGGCCCTCGATAGGTCACCAAAACTCATGAAGTGGTTCGCCAACCCAAATAATTTCCCATCCCTGGAGTAATCCCTTCCTCTGTCCTTTTCCTTGCAGCAGAAACTCTGGGTCACCATAAAGGACAAGGCTGAAAGCTGGTTTTTTGTTCTGCAAGATCATTTTTGGGATTTTTTTGTTTGTTTGTTTGCAAATAGGTATTTCCACTGAAAAAATGGAAAATATGTCACCAGCTCTGGACACCAGCAAAGAGCTGCCAGGTGACAGAGAGCATTTAACATCCTCCGTGGCTGCTGATGCTTCTCCGTGCCCCAGGATAAGTTAGCTATGCATTGATCAAGAGCACCGTGCCAGTGTAGGCAGGGTTTAGGCAGGAGACTCATCACTACTACGTCAAAAGTGTTATCCAAAGCCCTTGCACCGCTTTAATTGTCAATGCAGAAAAAAGAATAAGCATCATGGTACCGCAAGTATTGGGTAATAGCCACTCCCTGAATATTTGAATGCTATTAAATAGTAATATCCCCACCCACAGCTTTTAAAGAAACAGATTCAAATGAGAGTCCTCTTAGAAGCTGTGCTTTTTTGAAGACTGTAACGCAGGAAGCCTACACCGCGTGCGACATTTATTCCAATCCACATTCAGTTTAAGTTAGAAGATCCTGGGAGATGGAGATGGACACTGAAGTATAGTATCACAGCTTTTATAAGTGAGTTTCTCAGCTGTGCCCTCATGTGCATGGAATGGGCACCCCCTTGCTTTGGCAGCCAAATTCTGAGGGGAAAAAAAGCGACTGTGATGTGAATATATACCGTGAAAAGGGAAATAAAGTCACTAAAATAAAATTTTAAAAATGCCTGGAAAACTTGACTTTCTAAAAGCAATCAACCTAATTCACCATCAGTAATCCAGAGGAGCAACTCTGTGCACGACGGACCAAGTTTTGAGCCTTTCCACTGTCCCATTGTCAGCGAATATGAATGTGGCTCCTCACAAAGGTAGCAGTTCACAGGGTCAGCGCCTATATCCTGTCTCACCAGGCCCTTTTCTTCATTAGCCTAATAATGCAAAAGCCCTGTGCATGATTCTTTTTTCCTATACTTATCTCTATTAAAAATTATCTGGTTGAATGCTAGCATCTAAAATAGGAAAGCAGGTGCATCAGGCTCCATTCGGAAGCACCAAAACTTAAGGGGAGTACTGACAACCCACTTTTAATACCAAATCCTGGGGTTTTTGGTTTTTTTCGTGACCTTCATCCTGGAACTGAGGGTCAGCATGATGCCTAGACATCACTAGCAGCAAAACTGAAAGTGCTGTAGTTATATTCTGTTTAATAATTGACCCTCGTGGCAAATTCCCATTGATGTTTTGGGTTCTTGAGCTCGGGTCGAGAGCGCAGTACAGCAGCTGAATGCCATTGGGCAGTGGAATTGAACGTTTTATTGGACTCTACTCTTAACCCAACAGGATAATTTAGGAGTAATTCCTCAAAGGTTTTATTCCAGCCTAAACCTAGCGCAAGTGAGAGAAGAACCAAGCCCAAGTAATTAAGGACAGAGGAACTTCCATACTAGATCAGACCAGTGGTTCACATCGGCCTCAGACAGGAGCTTATAGAAAATTCTTCAGAAGGTGCAAAACACTCGGCTATTATTAGGGATGGAAAAACCTGCTAACGTTCCTTCCTCACTCCCATCAGATTGGCTGATGCCCCAAGCGTGAGAGGTTTACATCCTTTCCAAAACTCTGGGGTGCTTTTAAATCTTTGCCATAACAACTCTGGATATTCTTGTTACTCGTATAACTCTCCAGTCCCATTTCATCCTCTTACAGCTTCCTGCTAAAAGCATTAGGATGATAAAACTGCTATTGAAGGACATTGGTTCCCCCACTCTTTGCTTAAAGCTAAGAAACAGTCATCAAAAGCTACTGCAGCACGTTTAGGAGCTATTAAAAATAGACAAAGTACCAATATTTTAGGGAATAATG